TTTATTTTCTTACTATAAAATAAGTCAGATTCATTTTGAGCAAAAATCTATAAACATGGATTATTACATTTGCCATAAATTTTATTTAAATATTTTTTAAAAAAATTTATGAAATAGATTTTTGTGTAAAACTGGAATCAATATACTTTTATATACTTGCATACACAACATTTATTTTTAAATTATACCAAACTTTATGTAACATATTTGTTTACCGAATCAAATCATCGAATCAAATCATCGATCTCCAATTTGTTTATCTTAGTCATGAAATGTAGTGTTAAGTTTGAAAAAAATACAATAATATATTATTGATGTGCTAATAAAAATATAATCAAATAATTAATATTAAGATGGTTTGTATAAACTCAGCACAGAGCACATACTTTTCACAAGACTACATGACATCTTAATTATTGATAGACTTAAAATAAAAATAAATAAATACTAAAGATTAATGATGACTCTAGTATAATTTTATATGATAAAATTATTCACATAAGCATATTAAAAAAATTGCATGAAAACCACTTCTAAAGATTCCTAATTTTACTCAAAAAATTATACTGTAGCACAAATAGAACACTATCATTTTAAAAAAATTACTGTGACATTTGCAATAAACATGTGCCATTTAAAAAGAATTATTGTAGCAGAAAAAAAGGGGACCGTGCTTTGCACAGGGTGCACACTAGTGTATATATAAAGAAAAATAATAAAATGAGATGGTGAGATGAGATTCTTATCACGAGATGGCCCAATAGGCTACCGGAACGATGATCAATATCGCCCACCATGATTTGCACTCATCATGATCTATAGATAAAAAAATTATATTATTTGAAAATTTCTAATTATTATTTTAGCTATTGTGCAAAAGGGACGGCTATTAAGCTGTTCGAAAAATCTAACATATTAAACTAGATTGATTCATACTCTAGAAGACTCCAAACTATGTGAAAATTTGATCATATACATTTGATGATGCAGTATCGATCAGCTGGGGGATCGCTTGTGTATAGCACTTGTAGGTAAATGTTTAAATGTTAGTGCATTGCTTCCCTTCCCATGATATTCTCGAATGGGAATACCGACCTCTTTTGGTGGGTTGTGCCTCAACAGAGAGACCTTGTTTCGGCCATCTCTTTTGTTGTTTCAACTATCACATTAAACTTTATATCATGTGTTGCTTACATAGTTTACTCGTGCTAACCTATTGATCTCTTGTGATGCCTTACACAGTTTAACAACATCCCAAAATGAAGATGTGGTGGAGCAGTTCCTTTCTGTAAATACTTCAGCTGGTATGTTTCTTTTGTGGATAATCATAAGGAATAAGGATATATCTCATCCATTAAAAAGAAAAAAATAGGATAAGAAAAGAGGAATCACTATTATAAATAGCGGCAAATAGCCCCGCAATAACGGCGCTAATAGCGTTAGCGGTCACTTCCCGTGACGCTATCGCCCGGTATGCTATCGCGTAAAAGCGGTGACATATTGCGGAGAATGTTTATTCGCAAAAGCGGCCAATAGTGTGTCATAACGGTAAATAGTGAGCGATTGCATTCAAAATTAGAAGCTTAATTTGGATATGTGAATATATTATAGTTGGAGATGAAGAATTATGGTTTTGAAAACAGTGGATGTGTGGGGGTAATGAATATAACTTTTATTTGTGTAATTTTCTTTGTTCATTTTCAAGATATATGTGGTCTTATGGATTTATGTAGCTATAGCATTACTACTCTCTTTTGATTTTATGGAAGAGTTTGGGTGTAAAAAATTTTAAATTTATAAAATCGGTTAAAGTAGGATCATATAAATTAAGCCTATACATGAAATATATTTTAACCAACACACATATGGAAGTATTACAATTGGCATTGAGATCTAAGATAAGTGTGAGATTCTCTTTGACTTTTATACAAATAGTATCTATTTAAATATTAATAGAATAATTAAACTTTGTGATATGAAAAAAGATCAAATATATAATGTATTAATTGCTTTAAAATAATCTAATTTAATCTAATAAAAAGAAAATATATGAAAATGATGGGAAACTTGTTGCAATTTTATAATTAATAATTTTTTAAATAATCTAATCTAATCTAATAATCTAATCTAATAGGAAGAAAATAACAAAAGCATATACATGTTAAAAGAGATGAAAGTGCTACGAAAATTATTATAATTTCTAATCTAAAAAAATTAAACATACAATATAATTAATTGTTTTAAAATAATCTAATCTAATCTAAGAAGAAGAAAATAGATAAAAGTGCTGTGAAAATTATTACTATTTTTTAATATGAAAAAAGATTAAATCTATCATATAATTAATTACTTTAAAATAATTTAATCTAATCTAATAGGAAGAAAATAACAAAGGTACATATCTTTAGAAGGAGATCAAAGTGCTATGAAAATTGTTGTAATTTCTTGGCTTATATATATTAGTATGTGATATTGCATGTGAGAGGATAATAATTATAAATAGAGTTCTATTTAAATAATAATAGTGTAATTAAACTTTGAAACTAATTATACTATACCATGAACGATTTAAATTTTAGTTGGCGAGAGAGTGTGTCCTTAGGTTGCAACTATTTGTTTTAATTTTTCTTTTTTATAATTTTGAGAATAACTTTTGTCTCTTTAACTTGTTTGATAGATTTTATAAATATCTCGTCTATATTATTTACATTTGTAGGTCTGCGTTGTTCCTGGGTTCGATATTTAGGGCAAATATTATTTGTCTCATTAATTTATTTGGTTTTTACATATACGCCCTTCATCTTGTAGACATTTATAAATTTGATATTTAATAATTCCATTTAAGTTTATATTTTAATTTAAACTATATCATTATCTTCATACTATGTATATCCAATAAGAATTCATCAATTTTTCAATTTACTCTTACTTAATGGATTAGTATTTGAATTTCAAGGGTATTTTTGTCTACCGAAAGATTTTTCCGAATTCATGCTTTTAAAGGGAATTTTTTTTTCTTAATTTTCTTTTTTTATAATTTTGAGAATGAATTTTGTCTCTTTAATTTGTTTGGTAGATTTTGCAAATATCTCGTCCACATTATATACATTTGTAGGTCTGTGATGTTCTTGGGTTCGACCTTTGGGGCAGACATTATTTATCTCATAATTTGTTTGGTTTTTGTATATAAGCCCTTCATCTTGTAAGACATTTATAAATTTGGTATTTAATAATTTTATTCAGGTTTATATTTAAATTTAAACTATATCCTTGAAATTCTAAGAGTACTTTTGTTAACTTACTCTTACTTAATGGATTAGTATTTGAATTCTAAGAATACTTTTGTCTGTCGAAAGATTTTCCCGAAATTGTGCTTTTAAAGGGAGTATGATGATAAAAAAAATTTTGGGTTTG